AACTGCATATCAGTTTGCCATTCCAGGCTCTGAAGAAGGAGATACTGCCGAAACGTCAGCTACTGTTGTATTGTATTGTGTTTTTCTATGGAAGTGTATGCTGTATAGCAACATCGCAATTGCTGAGAAGGAAAACTACTAATTTATAAACCTATGTCGAGATTAATGGAAAGTCTATTCTGGGAACTGTTACAGCCACAATGTTGAGGTATTTGCAAAACTTAGACCCTGTATTGAAGACGACGAAACATCTCCAATGACTTCAGCAGCTTCGAAAGTATCAAACCAAGTGAAGCATTATAGCGTGAAAGACTAGTAAACCTCACTGAATCCGAGAACACCAGCATAGAAACTACAGCCGCATATTTTATTGCGGACACGGGGCTACACCCACTCACAACAAAAGCGACGTTAACATCACACAAAGACAATTTTGGCATTCGGGAAATGCTCACGAAAGAAGCCTCCTTGGCACAAACAATGTAAGAAAACCGTGCGTTTTGAATGTCACAAATTCTCAGCATAAAGGCGATTCCTGAAAGATGGCCACTCAATCAGCAAGCTACAGGGGCGGGAGTGTCAATAAATCGACAAATGTAAATATAATACTGCTCAAAAAATCCACATAATATCTCCCACTTTACACCGTTTAAGGTATCATCCAGATCATGGTGTTATTTTTTCTACCACCTCTTAAAATTCCCTCATATAGAAGTAGTTGCATGCTTTAACGAAATTTTGAACCTAAACCTCTTAACTGCCACGACCGACTTTCTATTAACCTCGGCATTGATCAAGTAATTTTCTTCATATTTGTGTTGAGCAAACCCGAGATGTTATTATTCTTTGTTCACGATTAAGCTGACGTTTCGGCGGATTTCGCCTTCCTCAGAGCCTGGAAAGGTCAAGTTGATAGCAATCTACCTGGCCAGACGCCCCCATAACCGAACAAAGAAACTCCAAACCAAGATTTCAATCACTTTGAACACAGCTTTGCACACTGGCCAGACGCCCCCATAACCGAACAAAGAAACTCCAAACCAAGATTTCAATCACTTTGAACACAGCTTTGCACACTCACCGCTTCCTATGAGGTTTCCACTAAGTATGTCACGTAGAGACCAACCGCACAGAAATCACATGGAAGTATAATGTGCCCCTCACATCAGAAAAGCAGTTTTATATACTGCCCTATATCACGCGTGATAATGAGGCATTCTTCCCTGCGGTTCATTTTCGGATTTCTGGAATTAATCCAGAGTGCCTCAAGGGTTTTTCACGCCCGTGTTCTCGATTCGCGTGCGAGGATCGTAACACATACTTTGAAGTCGTCCCCGTTATGTCTCTGGGTTCTATGCGTGCCTAGCGGGGTATTTGGTCTATTTTTGCCGGCTAGGTGTTCTTTCATGCGGACACAGAGGGGTCTACCCGTTTCGCCAATGTATTCGCCACCACACGTCTTACAGGAGATCAGATAAACTATACCCGAGCTCATGCAATCACCGTCTCTACCACTGGGGCAAATTATGCAGACGGTTATATAGGCGGTTACGAACTAGCTGGCGCTTAAGATTACTCGGTGGTATTTCAACTACGCTCACCGAATTCTCAAAGCCCGCCCTTCTCAAGCAGCGTTTTATAGCTGTACTTATATCATTTGAGATGAAGCGTAGGATAAACAGGACCCTTCTATCGCTAGAGTTGTCGTTTGGAGGCCTACGATTTCCTCTACACCTATCCTGTGCTACAGTTTCGTAGCCATTAGAAATGGCTATTTGCCGTGCCAAGTTCCCGGACTCCTCTTTCTGCTGTCTTCCCGTGCACACGTCCCTGTTCGAAACATGTTTCTCATAAGCGCCCTTTTCGTGTGAGAGGGGTGAGAGGAGAGGTAGTGAAGCAAGATGTTTTTACTACTTGGCTCGGGTATAGTTTATCTGATCTCCTGTAAGACGTGTGGTGACGAATACATTGGCGAAACGGGTAGACCCCTCTGTGTCCGCATGAAAGAACACCTAGCCGCCTGTAAGACGTGTGGTGACGAATACATTGGCGAAACGGGTAGACCCCTCTGTGTCCGCATAAAAGAACACCTAGCCGGCCAAAAAAGACCCAAATACCCCGCTAGGCACGCATAGAACCCAGAGACATAACGGGGACGACTTCGAAGTATGTGTCACGATCCTCGCACGCGAATCCAGAACACAGGAGCGAAAAACTCGCGAGGCACTCTGGATTAATTCCAGAAATCCGAAAATGAACCGCAGGGAAGAATGCCTCATTATCACGCGTGATATGGGGCAGTATATAAAACTGCTTTTCTAACAGGAGGGGCACATTATACTTCCATGTGATTTCTGTGCGGTTGGTCTCTACGTGACATACTTAGTGGACACCTCATAGGAAGCGGTGAGTTTGCAAAGCTGTGTTCAAAGTGATTGAAATCCTGGTTTGGAGTTTCTTTGTTTGGTTATGGGGCGTCTGGCCGGGTAGATTGCTATCAACTTGACCTTTCCAGGCTCTGAGGAAGGCGAAATCCGCCGAAACGTCAGCTTAATCGTGAACAAAGAATAATAACACCTCGCGTTTGCTCAACACAAATACGAAGAAAATTACTAAACCTCTTAATAAGCCGGGCGGGTGTATAGAAAATATTTTTCGTACTCTGTATCATTCACTTTAGCATCTTGTATAAGCCATGTATCCGTATTACCAACGGGAACGCTACCAGCGACGGGAACATTGCTTGTGGAGCTGACATAACGACCTTCTCCATTAGCATGGATATAGACACGCGAAGCATGCAGATCGCTGTCGCCCATCATCCTTTAGCCCCACCCCGCTTAATAGTATCTTTTCAGAATCCATTTGATTAGGTAGTAATAATGTTACATACAATCTTTAGCTTTTGTATTAATATGCCTTCGCCAGTGGAAGAATGTGGATGATGGAATTGTTCCAGCGATGAAGAAGACTGTACGGAATGGAGTACTTAAGAGGAGTGTATTTGAAAGAATTGCTACAACTGCAATACGCAGAATACATGACAACTGATGACAACGTTAATATGATGATGATACCAAGAGATAGAGATTTTATTCAACATTACTACCTAAGCAAATGATTTATTTTTTATCCTTTTAAGCAAATGACTTATGAAGGAATATTATTAGAAAATGTAGTAATAAGAACTAAGGGGAGGATAGCACAGTGGTAGTGATGTCCGTCATCACGAGCAAAGTGCTAGTTCGATTGCGCTCCTGGTCAACCAAGCCTTTCATCCTTCCGGGGTCGGCAAATTGGGTACCGGACCTCTCTGGAATACAATTGGGAACGCTCCAGCCCAGCTATCTCAAAACTCCAGGGAGAATTGCTTGACCGGCATTCTACGACATTCAAGATGAAATGAAAACTATCACGTAGCAAACGAAGCCACACTTAAAAACTTGGAAGACCTTCGTGGACGATGGGTGCGACGAAACAAATTCGTTGTGAGAAGTGCTGGGATCCGCACAGAAGACGTGAAGATGGACCAAATAAAAATAAAAATAAAAAAATAAGAACTACACCATTTGCAGTCAATACAGAACTACTTCAGCAAAGACAGTGTTCCAAATAATAATAGTGCTAATCTCAAATGACAAAAAATGGCCTCTGGTGACCCCGCTTCTAAGAATGGAAGAAAAACTCGGCAGACTTAAAGAAAAGTGCCTCGCCGTACGAATACAAACTACGAAACGAAAATTGATTTAAAAACAACCAATGCGTCATTCTAAACTCAAAATTCCATTTGATACGCATTCGACAGCGATGGAACACGTCAGCCACAGAGGTGGTCGGGTGACCACGTGGTTAGCATTGAAAGCAAAAGTTCCAGCCCAATGAGTCATAAACATCCTCATGCGTTCTTTCCATTTTTGAAGAAGTCGCAATCTTACGAGATCACCATGATTTCTCTGGATCTACAAGCCGAATAAAGCGTTGACACTTCAGTGCTTCTGCTTTATGTACATATCAGCTGCTCACATGTTATTCGTTGCTGATCACGTCCAGCTTCAATTAGATATCAACCTCCTATACGACTTGTGAAGCATGCCGACGGACAGAAACAACAGAAAACATTACAATACAATCACTAAAACAGAATTCTTGGCATTTAAGCTTCCTCACTATTTCGAAATTGAAACACCCTAATGACGCCGTACTAATATTGCCCTACAGTCCAATACTTCTCCACTAACAATTCTGATCACAACACAATGCACGACTTATTGATCGGTACGAAGTGTTTGTTAGGGACAATTATCTTCTTAAATTTTTACGGGAGTAATTAGAGCGCGCGCAAATTCTTGCCCCTTGAGCCGATTCTATCTGGACTTGTGAACACTTCAAAACTGCAAGCTACGTTCAAAAAAGGTACCATGTTTGGGCCAACTGAAACCACTGATTTAGTGCGTGAACACTCAACTATCATCTAAATCCATAGCAATCTATGCAATAAGCAGAATGTTTCCAAAATAGGGGTTATGTATAGCATCTACTTCATCACATATTGATAAGACTGTCAAGCGTTAGAAAAAACTTAGTCGGTATCAAATTCACCTGGAGAACGATCGTTGTATGACATATTCAAGCCAACAAGGACGTGGAACTAGTTCTATATCTGACCTACCAATGGTTCTTTAACTCTGTGCCACCACTACGACACAGTACACACAATCCCTGGTTTTAACTTTGTAAGACCATCCATGGCCCAGAAAGAACGCAATACTTCACCGAGGAACGATTCTGTTCTTGACCTGAATGCACATTTACCTTCGACGGACACCAGCCCTAACGTCCTCTGAACTTCACGTATGGCATCCGAAATGATTTTATTTCATGAAAAGTATTGATTAAACTTCCCTTATCTAATAAATAACAACTGCAGACAATGAATTACATAACATAAATATAACAATATTTACAAGAGATCAATGGCTCACTCATTGTAGAGCATACATCTACGCCTTAGCCGGTGTAGCTTTCTTCGACTTTTTCGGTGCTTTCGCCTTACCAGCGGCCTTCTTCATTGCAACCTTCTGTGGTGACTTAGCAGACTTAGCCTTCGGCTTGGCGGCTTTCTTAGGCGAACTTGACGACTTTTCTTTCTTCACTTGCTTTTCCTAGAAGGACCAAATATTCGCAATGGCAAGAGAAAAGTACAAATTACAGTACTACTGGTAAATACAGCGTACACATCACCTGTAGATGTCATGTGGTTCGGAAACTAATGCACGATTTCCCCTCGTTTCATCAAAGTGGCATATCCCGGCTCAAAACAAACCTCATTCATCGAAATAGAAACCATCGCAATTTACACATTGTTGCCAACCAATGAGGAAGATGTTTAGGTACTCTACTTGCATGTCGTAAGTTCTGGAGGTGATGAACTCACTGCAAGCAACTCCAAAATAAACTTCGTTTCTGAAGCCTTCCCCTCTAGTGGTGGGATGATTGCTGGGTAATTCATGAGCGAAAGCTCTGGGAAAACCCGATATACAGTAACGCTTTAACTTGGGCAAAGTTTGGTCGTTTCCTGGCTAGTCATATTAGTCGAACTTCTTCGTCTTTTCAATCGTCTTTGGAGTCCCGTTCGTAATAGCACGGCTCTGAGGAAGCTGTAATCGCCGAGACGTCAGAAACAACAACTTATATCAACCTCGCATCAGCTTAACAAGATCAGTCCATAAGGATATATAGATAAACACGTCTTTAGATACTCTGTAAAATCTGTGAGGCGTACGTCGAATTACTTTGGAAGTTATAGAAAAGTTGCCCGTGCATTTGCTTCCACCAAAGCCTTCGATGCCTCGTGGTCAATATCAGAACTTTCACGACCTCCCTCAGTTTAAGAACCCAATACGCCATAACTACATTTCTCAACTATGCCGTACGGTGCGTTCGCTCATACATCCTTCGCACCATATTTTATTGATGTTTCGGGCCGCCTAGACCGCATTATATCCTAGTTTGAATTCGTTATGGCAAAAATGTCGAAATTCCTGTCTTCAGTGCTTTCTGTGGAACAATGATTTACAACAGAATAACATTCGAAGTGAAAGTCCTGCCAACACATGTAGAAATTAAAAACCACAAATCGTGCATTAATTCCCGAAATGTCTTGCAAAAACCTTTCGTGAATAGCTAGGTAACTCACATGACTTGCATCTGCACTCTCTTTTGGTTTTGCCTTGCTCTTGACTTTAGGCTTCCTGGGAACTTTAGTAGTCGCCTCATGGACCGACTTTTCGGCCAAGCGGAATCGACCGGCCGCTCCGGTGCCACTTGCTTGCGTGAGAAGCCCGCTCTGCACTCCACGTTTCAAAGCAACTCGAAGACGGGCATTTATCTGGAATTTAACAGGAACTGTGAAAAGGCATAAAACCTATCGTTTTACAACAGCACAGAACACTGAAATCACTCCAAAATCCCGAAGACAATTGTGCCACGAACCTGTCTCTCATTATCGCCAACTTTATATTTTTGCACGATAAACTTCAATATGGCTTGCTTTGAAGCTCCTTTTCGATCTTTCAACTCCTTGATGGCGGACTTGATCATGGCGCCGTAAACGGGGTGACTGGGAGCCGCCCTTGCTTTCTTCTCCCCTTTCGACTTTGTAGCCTACAGTCGAACGGTAACATCACACAATAAAACAACAAAAAAGCACGCAATACATGAAAAAACTAAGGAACCTTGGTCTTTTTCATGGCTGGTGACGTGGACGTCGTAACGGGAGCTGCATTAAGTTCGGACATATTTAACATGGAACGGATAGCGAGCAAATACCTGGCCGACCGTGCTGCCCGTTCTTATAGCAGGCTGGGTTCCCCCGTTGCGCCCCTGTCCAATAGCAACGAAGATGGCGCGATAGCCACCACCTCGCTGTTAGTGATTGTTGAAAAAATGATAATAAAATGCTACACGGTCAAAAGTTATGGAAGAATTTTAGTTTTTTGGCAACTAGAAGATTCCCTCTTTCAGGCTATTTGCAAATTTTATGGTGCTGCCTTAAGCTTTAGCATGAAAACATGCAGAGAACATTGCTTTAGCCGAAAATTGTTGAATTGGACGTGTTCCATCAAAGATTTCATTCAAAATACACCAAGTGTCACTGATGTTGCGCTTATTTCTGAAAATAAATACATTGAACTTTACAATTCAGAAAGAGCACCTTCGATATCTCAGCTGGTTTTAGCACTGCAATCATTTCTTCCATACCAGAAAACAACACTAACGCAGTTCTTCCCATTCAAAACACACTTTAGCTGTACTGCTTTGCAACAAGTTTGGTGTCACATGAAAGGGTTTTTCATAGTTTATAAGTTTCCACGAAAATTTGTGGTTGAACTACGTGATCACTGAGAAAATATCGCTTAAACAATACTATTACTTAGCCGCCGCGACGCGGCAGTTGATGCGACTGCGGTTGGAAAACAAGTCAGAGAGCCGTTTTTGGCCATATATTAAAGTTCTTATACCAATTTTTGTACTTTACTAGATACTTTTGATGTTTAGACTTCTTAAACAGATTCCATGTAATCGATAAAGGTATTAGCGACCATGGAAATATGGATTGAATGGCAAGTATTGATCGAAAACATCTTTCAGCACATCATTCAAATATTAATTAATTGAACCAAGATGTTATACTTGTTTATGGATCCCATATAAAATTACCGCTGTCGAACGGCTTGTGAAAATGTCTGAAGAGCTTATCTGAAGGTCTGAGAAGAGAGTTTTCATAAACGTTTTTGACGCATTGAGCAGTTGTATGCCGTCGCGCATTGCAAAGCCTTGAAGGGAACATTGAGAAATTATCAACTGTTGCAACATTTGGATGGTTTTCTAAATTTCTGTGGGACTTCTTTTGCCCATATGAGATAATTTATGTACTGTATCAGATGGGAATTACTTGATAGGATTTGACAAGTTCAACGAATTATCCGATGATCTAGCCGGATCCGATATCGGTCGCTGGGAAGCGAGCGCTATCATGCCGTATCACTGCTACAAGCTGATCGATGTTTGAAAACAATCAACTTTTCAACTGCTGGAATTCTTTCGTACCACTAGACGTCAAGTTAAAGAGTGCTTTCACTACTAGAACTCTCCCTTGAAATATAGTCCAATTTGTGAGCGAATGAAAAGAATTCTAATTCTGTTGTAAAGTCGACTGCATCAAGGATTATGGCTTGTAGGTTTAAGTTCCATCATTGGGTTAGGAGGAGGAAAATTTCAGAAGATAGGATGACGTTTTAGACGCCGCAGAAAACAACATTGGCTCCGCATCGTTGGCCGACAAATCTCATTATTCAGATTTACATTTCTATCAGGAAGCCTGGCCAAGCTCAAGATATGACAGGAATTGTCACGCTTTAGGTGGAATCTTAGAAGAAATTCTGCAGCAACGCCGTACGCATTCTGACCAGCCATCAGGTCCGACGAGTGTGCGGTGACGACCTGGGAACTTCTCGGCATGGTAATCTCGCATAAAATCTACCTTGCTAGTAAAATGTATGGAAAATGTGCAAAGACGGTCATATTGTTTCGGAATTAGGCATTGTTCCAATTGCTTACATCGCAAAACTCCACAAAATGAACAATATCCCGTTCCGGCTTTTCTTCATGGCCACTATGCACTGACTTTCCTTCCTACATGCCATACGTGAGCTCTCCCTATATAAAGTGCAGTGGTGAATCACATTTCACAAGAACCTGCAGATTTCGTAGAGCATTATCGTTTTCGCAGAAATCTTTCTGTTTTTTACTTTGATGAAGTGCTGCCATTCTTACCAACCATGTCGTACATTGTAATGCTACTCACTAAAATATCGTTTTTGGTTTGATCATCGAAATAATCTTGCCTTCCACCTTTACAGAATCTAACGAATTGCATCTGACCTGTCTCGGGAAGCAAAATGCGTAGTTTCGATCAAGGTCTCGTCTGCTAATCAGATTACGCTTTCACATTCAAGATTTTTGAGCGAGTATAATAAACATGAAAGAAGGGAATTAGTAGGCCATTACATAAACCATATAAGCGTTGGATTTTTTCTCGCAACACTTCCTAATTCATTGTTGGTTGGGAAATGTAATGTCTATCCTGTATGAATTGCAGTAATACTATGGAGTCCTCGATCCATCGATAGCTCATGCAAGGGGTCTGATCGGTAATGAGCCTACATAAATGCGTCCTTAAATGACCCAAATAGGAGTGTTGCTAATTGCGGACGAAGAACGACCTAATTTAACACGTAGGTAAATTAAGAGTTAGAATTCCTTATCCTTACTGCCATGACTTATTTGCATTTAACTACTTGATAGGGACACGTGTAGTGCAGTGGTTAGAAGGTTCTTGTGTCGTTTACTATGTCTCGCACCCTACATAAATCCCAAAATTTCCTTTCAGGGTCGGAAAACTTTACCAAACTTGCGAAAATACCGACCTAACACATTAGCAGCTCCTGCTAGTCATTGCTTAGCTCAAAGATGCAATGAATTATGCCTACGACTCTATGATTCGAGTGGAATGCATGGCACTGCCCAATGGTATTCAACCACACTCTTGTAGATGTGCGAACGCGAAGAAATGCATGTGGAGATGTGGTTCGCCAAACATCACAAAAAATGTGCGAAGCTTCTTAAGTGTTCTCAAGCGAATGCATCCGACTGAGAACCTCTGACTTGACACTTTACCAGGCGCTAGAGAAAAACCGAGACTTATCGCTATGGTCGACGAGCGATAAAGGAATGGTGTAGGTGATTGTCCCACACGGCCATAGCTATTTATAACCAACGAAGAATGCACGTGATTTTGTCTTTGTTGTTTTTGCATGTGACGTTTTTCTATATAATTTGCTTTATTTGCATGGTATTGCATCACCACCAGGTTTTCGCTTACAGGTTCTAATAAGAACGTGAGATTATACTAAAACCAGGTAATTGACGTTATCATTAACAGAAGTCCAATATAAAGTGAAAAAGAGACAAGTTCTAAAAGACCTATTGCAGTACCTATAGCAAGCTTTGATAGGGAAGTATATGTGGGTAAGAAAACAGGAATTATTCATGTTGGAATTTTGGATCTGGTCATGGATGAGAGCAAAAAATGTGACAGAAGTCGTACGAAGTAACCACTCATGAGGGCTATACAACAAACCATTTGAGAGATTCTATAGATCAGGAAGCACACTTTTATTTTTATTTTTATTAATAAGCCTCTCGTGCTGGCTAGGCGTAGAGCTCTTTTTCGTAAGCACACCGAAAATAGAAAGTAGAAGTATGGCGTCAAGTTGCTTAAGTTGTGTACGGGATGCTGCTGTACGTGCAAAATTCAATTATGACAGTGCTCTTTCTCTTTATGTGGGTTAGCTCAGTTGTTGCAACAGTCCTACAACACCCACGTAATCATTCCCGAGGCCGACTATGTATTGATTTCGGCACCGATCGGCAAGTGTTTTTTCTTGTGCAGACCGAGTTTGTTAATACAAGATTAAATTTTTTCCGCGGTGATTCCACGATTCCGTGTTCCTCAGAGATTGAAAATGACAAATTGACTCTCAATGTAGTCAGCCAAACACTTTCATAATCTCAGATGCACAACTCAGTATTTAAATATTAATCGCATGGGAAATAACCCACTTTTAACACTCCTGATTTTCTTCTTTATAATTCTTCCACCTATTGAAGGGGATCAGCCGCAGAGAGTTTATGCGACGGATATTTCCGGTTCAGTCTTTCAGGTCAAGAAAGCAGCCATAGTTGTTGGGCAACGTCAGGCGTAAATACAGAGTACTTCTCCCTGCCTTTCATCCTTAGATTTATGAAATTTGTTCAGAACGCTTCAAAAACTGCGAGCTGGCGTTGGAGATTTCTGTGTGAGGAGAGCGACGTCTGTTTCGCAAACATATCCGTCGTCTTCATGTTCTCTGCGTGCCTAGTGAAGTGTCTTGCCTAATGTTATGCTTCTCAAATAGGTGTTCTTTTGTACGGGCGCAGAATGGTTGTCCATAGTTGGTCATACAGGCAGGGACGCATTAACGGACAACGCAGGCCGTTCGATGGGAGTTCCATCACCGCTGCCGACTTGTCTAAACCGGCTGCTTTTGGGCAACGCATTACTTCAAAATTACTTCCTTTAATTCAAAAGACCGACTTTCTATAGAGCTCGGTATGAATAGTTGACATATTTATTTATATGCTCTTTTAAACTGATATTCTTGAGCTGATGCGAGGTTGGTATAAGTTTTCGTTATCGTTGTTTCGTTGTTGTTGTTGTCGTTGTTGTTGGCGTTGTTGGTCGATGGCTGACGTTTCTGCGATTTCGCTTTGCTCAGAACCGTGCCGCTACGAGTCCTTCCTCTAACTTAATTTTCTTTTGTTACTTTCTCAAACCTAATTTTTATCCTACCGAAATCGTATGCTTGGCGAATTCCAGTAGTTCTTCCATTCGATTCGTTTCCTCGCATCCTTTGTCGGCGAACATTTTCAGATTTTCATGTGCATCCGGCGGCTGCTTGAGGAATTTTGGATTTTTGTACGAATTTGAATGCTGCTCGAATCCTGGAATCCTTGAGTGGCCGTGCTGGATCACTCACGGGGTTCAGTACGGTCATTCGACATTTCGGAGGAGCCTCTTTACAGCGAAGTTTGGTAATGATTTCCTGACCACAAATGGATAAAAGGCTTAGTTGACTCAGAGGCGGAGGAAGTAGCAAATTAGTTCGTGCTGCTTGTATTGGTAAGTCGAAAGCGA